TTTCTCTAAAATAGAAATCCATGGTATGGCTAGAAATCATCTCTGTCTACCCCAAACAGTGCTTATTTGGTGGTCTTGCTATGTTTTTGTGCACTCTGCCTATTAGTGGATTTTTAAACTTATCACAGGAAAGGTGTAAATTCACTGAATATATGCCATCTAGAAATGAGCTTTAAATTTTCTCTGTTGAAATAAGGACTGTGACATCGCTATTACAGGAGGACTGTAAGGCTGATTTTGATTCTGTTTTGGAGGTATATATACTGTTTTGTTAGAAGGGAAGCACTTGCCCTGGCAGAGGGCTGACGGTGACTGAATCCCACCCCCCTCCCCCGCCATTTAGCAGAAGACATATTTTGTTTTTAAATGAGATGATAACCAAGGGACTTATCAAGAACCAGTGAATTATAAGAAAGTCCTTTTACTTTGCTTGTATCCCGTTTAACCTTGCTTTTTATGTCATCTGTACGTTACTGTCAAAGGACTTGGCTTCCTTTGAAGTTGCGAAGCATTGCTGCTGGCAGAGTCATGATGAACTGATCCATAGCAGTGCCTTGTTACCGAAGTAAAAGTGTGTGTGTAAGTGTAGCAAACACGGAGTGCAAGAGGAGAATATATGGAGAACATGTAGCCGGCGTGGAGGTGGGAGAAGTAGTTCCCGGGAATTAGGGATGCCCTTTCGTAATTCATGAGGTGCAGAATGAGGAAGGGCTCAAAATCATCTGAAAAGCATCTGGAAGCAATCTGTAATTTTTAAGAGGTGGCAGAAGAGCCTGTATCTCTCTAGTATGTGATGATAGAATTGTTTACAAGGGATTTTGGAAATAGTACTTGTAAAACCTCTTGTGAGGTGATACTCCAGGTTCCCAGGTACTTGATAAGCCATTAATTGATTTAGAGTGCAGAAGACTAGTTGGAAATACTGAGGAAATCTGATTATGAAGAACTGGTTTATTTGCATGTGAAATATTAACCTTTTTATGTCCCACCATTCTCATGTCCAGTCATTGCTGTTATGCCTGGCGTCTTGTCTTCCTGTTCTTTTTTGTGGTACTGGGGATTGAGTCCAGGGGCACTCTGTGGACACTTAGATATACTCAACCCTTTTAATTTTTATTAGAAAAATTTTTTGTACTTTTTGAGGCAGAGTCTTGCTATGTAGTTCAGGCTGGCTTTGAACTGACTCTGTATCCTGGGCTGGACTCTCATGTGATCCTCCTGCTTCAACCTCCTCAATGCTGGTGTTACCTTTGTACATTGACATAGGGGAAAGAAACTCGCAACCTGCTAGGGTTTGTGTTCTCTAAAATTGAAGAATTAATTTTAGGAACAATGGAGATTTAGAGTGGAAAATATTTATTGAGAGAAAGAAACCTTCTGTCTGGGAGAGAGAGACAGAAGGCATCCCCAGTGGGTTTCCAAAGACTCTGCCTTTTCTAGGGGTTTTATAGAGCAAATTCACCAGCTGAGAAGAGTAGGGTCCAAGGTGGAGAAAAATGGGAACTCGCAAGATGGACATGAGGTGGGACAAAACTGTGGTCAGCCAATAAGATTACGAGTATAACTGTTCAGGTAAAATTGATTAAGTTGGGATCAAATGGGGAAGCGAGTCATGTAGCAAGAGGAAATGAAACAGAACGAGGGTTCTTCCTGTTGGGGTTGGGTCAGTGGCTCCTTTTGCCTTCCTCAAGGTGATGATACCTAGTTAGAATATCAATCCCTGATGTTTGTCCTTAGGAAATATGTGGGTGCATTTGTTTTATCTTTTGTCTTAGGCTGGCCTACGGTAGAGGTGCCTGTCTCTCCTACAGTTGCAAGGAATTTCCTCTTGTGCACTGGCCCCTTTGAGGGCCTAGCCTTGTCTAACCACCTATAGTATTTTTATTTAATTTAGTTGCCTGTAATAATGTCATTTCCAGCTAATTTTTAAAAATTTGCAAAGTTGCCCAGGCTGGCAATTTGTAACCCTCCTGCTTCAGCCTATTAAGATCTGGGATTACAGATGTATGCCTCTGTACTATGCCCGATTTTTAGGATTAAGGTCATTCTGTGCTACTTCATCCCCTGTTTTTCTTTTATGAAATGTTTGTTACAGTGTATTCTGAGCTTTCAACACCATCTGTAGGTTAAACACACATACACATATGCATATTCACACGTATACACCCTCTTATAGTGATTTACATGGAACCATTTTATTTATGTTGAGCATTGTATAAAAGTTGTGACATCAAGGAGTGAGCTCACCACTTGTCCTTGAGAAATACTTAGAACGTAGAGTTTTTGAAAATATGTATTTGTTCTCCAAGACTGACTTGAATTACTCACCTTAACCCATGTAAAGATGAGGACATATTTTACCCACTATTTATATCAAATGAGGTTGCAACTTGTCCTTTACTTTTCTATAAATAGTTGTGATTATATATAATTTCAATGTTTTACCCTGATTTTTCTTTCTTATTTGTATTTTATTTTATTTTTTGTCTTTTTGAGACAGAGTCTCGCTATGCAGTTCAGGCTGGCCTTGAGCTCACTTTGTAGCCCAGGCTGGTCTTGAACTTGCAAATGATTCTCTTGCCTCAGCCTCCCAAGTGCTGGGATTACAGGAGTGCACCACTATTCCTGGCTTTGTATTTTAAACTCATAAAATTTATTGATAACTGGCAGAATTGTGATTAAATTATGTGGTTGTGCCAAATTTGACTATTCCTTTATTGGGCTGTTTTTTAAAATTGATTTTATTGGTATACTTTTGAGATATAGAATGATGATATTCATTTTAGGATTCTGTACCTGTATATAATATATCGTGGTTCCTTTTTCCCCACTTCCCCATCCCTCTCTTCAATCCTTCCCCTCATTTACAAAAACTTTGTTTCCATTTTTTTCACTTTCTGTTCCTTTTGGGCTTTTAAATTGTTTTTACTTTATTTATTTATTTATTTGATTTTTTAAAAAAATTTTATTTTGAAAGTATACAACAGAACAAGTCAGAATAAAGCCAACTAAGATCATACAGTGAAATTGGTACAGAACTTCACAGCAGGTTACCGGGATACCAGTAATAGGTATCACAGTATATTTTGTTTTCTTTATAATAGTTGTTCTTTCAATCACGTATATCAAAATGAGATGAAATATAGAACACTGTAGAACTTATCAAAACAGAATATTGAATATGTTTTCACTTTAAACATTCAAGTATAATATTTACTTTTTTTTGACACAGCATCTTGCTAAGTAGTTCAAGCTAGCTTTTTATTATTTTTTTTTTTAGGCTAGCTTTTGTTTTTATTTAAAGAGAATAAAACCAAACCAAACAGAATAAATCTAATCAGAAAAGAGCAATGAAAGCAATACAGGACTTCAAAACAAGATAATATTAGGAAATAAACTATGGTTACAATGAAATCTTGTTTTCTTCAAAATAGCAATCTATCAGATATAATAAAATCAAACAAAATCAAACAATAAAACCTATCAAAAGAAAAGAATGAAAGCATATTTTAAAGATAATAAAACCAAACTAAGCAAAACAGAATAAAGCTAATCAAATCAAAACAGAGAAAGTGATAATTCAACTTAAAAACAGGATAATAGGAAATCAACAGTGACTACCATAATGCCTCTTGTTATCTTCAAAATTGCTGTCCATACCATCAGACATGATAAAATTGAAACAGAACTGAATAAAACTAAACAATAAAATGGAAGAAAACAGAGCAGAAACAAGAAACAAGATAGAAGGAAATCCCCCATAATTGCTATACTGTATATTGTTATCCTTTTAATAGATGCTCAGACTACTGGCCTTAGGCCTGCAGTGGCACTCATACAGTACAAGCATTAAGTTGTTTTGGTACCTCAGTTGGCTCTCAGCTCAGCTTGTCCTCCGAATCAGCCGGTTTCTTGCTTGGATTTGAGGTTCTTGTTTCTTAGTCTGTGTGCCAGTTGGCTCACAGGAAGGGCAAATTGGCCTCTTATTAGTCTTCCCAGGCCCAGTCTAGCTTCTACCAATTCATGGGAAGGGTGAATTGGTTTGTTTCTCCTCCCAGACCCCACATGGCTTGTGCTGGCTCACAAGAAGGGCAAATTGGCTCAGTTCAGGCTAGCTTTGAACTCAACTTTGTAGCCCAAACTGGCCTTGAACACACAGTGCCTGAGATTACAGTGTAGACCACCATGCCTGACTTATTTTCTTAAAAATATATTCTTTCTGGTAAATTTTCTGTAACTTCTTATTCTGATGTTACATAATAGCTTTTTGTAATTTTGCTTAATATTTACTTCAATTTCTGCCTTTTGTGCCTGTTTGAGTTCATCATTTTAAATATTTTTATTGCTACCCTGCTATCTTTTGTTCTTTGTATTTCTCTTGGGTAATTTCCCAGATTGCTGCTTTTCAAACTCATGTTTTTATGGCTGTTTATTAAGGGTGGAGCCATGCATTTGTTTTGTGAAGCCAGTTAGGCCTGGTGATATGAGGTGCATATCTAAGACTAAAGTAGATTTTGCCAGTGGGGTGGCAAAAAAATGGAATTTTCAGAGATTAATATATAGATAAGTCAGAGGTGTCTGGGGATATTTTAGGAGTGTTGTACATTTTTGAAAATTGTAAGAGTTACTTGTCATTCATTTGCTATTTTATATCATACTATCATTATTATCTCAGTATGATGTTGATTCATGCAGTGGATTTAGTTTCAGATTTTTTATTTTCTTCTGAGAGAAGCACGTAATTATTTTAGATCTCTTAAAAGGCTTCATTACTTTCTGCTAGCCAGTAAGGTTTTTCAGATTTCTAAATAAAGATTCATTATTTATCACTCATTCATTGATTCATTCATTCGTTTTTGTCATAAAGATAGGTACTATCTGAGGAGAACTTACCCAGTGCACACTGTGGAGTGGTAATGGGAGGGGAGAAAACAAGGAAATGTAGATTAGGGTTTGTAATTTATTAATGATGGTGGGACATTTTTTATTCCTTTCTGTAGATTTGAAAGTTGTCTGGAGTTCCTGCCAGAGCTGGATGCTAGAGAAAGTTTTTACATTTCTCTGGAGAGTGCAATGACGAAATACAACTGAGGCTTTCAAAGAGAGCAGTTACAGGTATGTCTTCCTTTATATTATTAAAATCGATGTGTTTGGTAACGTTCAGTAATAATTTCCTAAACAAGCCTACTTGAACCTATACATCTAGGTGGACATTATTCAGAACAGACTTTTTAGTTTAGTTTTTTTTTCCTTTTCTTTGGTACTAGAAATTGAACTTGGGACCTCATGCTTGCCAGGCAGGCACTGTGCCACAGAGTTATATTCCTGGCCCTCAGAACAAGGTTTTTGAGAACCTGTACTCAATCTTTTACTCAAAGCATTTAAAAAATATTTCTTTTGAGAGCTGCATCTCTGTCCTCTGGTTGCATTCTTTTAAGTGTCCTGTTTTCTGTGGCAGTGTCTCTTCGTCTTGTAAGGATGCATTTGGGAAACAGTCTATCCTCCTTTAAAGCCAGGGCAGTGGAGTGGAAGCACTCTCAAAAGCAAGGCAGAATGACAAAGAAAACCAGAGTTCCTTTTTGTTATTTGTGTATGTATTCAAAGGCTTACATGCTGTATTGAAAATGAATTCTAACAAGTGATTCTGAATTTTCAGACAATGATAGTATTATTAAAGTAACATTATTAGGCTACATATGTATATTTATTTGAGTGTATAAACATTGAAATTCTTATTAAAATCATTCAGTCAGTATTGTAGAGAAGTTCTAGTATTAACCTGGTTAAATAAGCTAGTATCCAAACTTTCTTGTATGGGTACTTCTATAGCTTTGTTTTTTATAAATGATTTCCTGTGGATGTTTTGCAATATTTCTAAAAATGTTATTAGAGTATTTGTCAAAAATACACATTAAAAATTCAAATTACATTTCAGATTATAAAGTTGGGTGCTCAGTGGTAGAGTGTATTTTGCAAGAGTGAGGCCCTGGGTTCAGTTCTTAGCAGTGGAGTAGGGGAAGGAAAAAAAAGAAAATGAAGTCTATTAGCTCCCATCTATTTTTGTCAGTGAAAATAGAAATGGTCAGCGCAGGGCTTGAGAATCTGCACTTTAAAGGTGTGTCACCAGAAACTGACATCCCTGAAGTAGTAATATTGATAGAGGAGAAATATAACTCCCAATCTGCCAGATGTCAGATGTGCTGAGTGTGTGTCCCCCCAAATTGAAGAATGAATTCCAAGGAACAACAGAGGGTAAGCATAGGAAAGGATAATTGAGCAGTAGCTCCTGAGACACAGGAGTCCTGAAAGTGGGTCTCCACTGAGGTCTCCAGTGAGGCCTCCTCTGAGGAAGGTCACAATGGGAGTACAAAGTGGTTCAAACCATAACAGACCTATAGGATTACAAGTACAGCTGCTTAGCTAGTAGTGATCTAGTGAGGAAATGCGTCACATACCAAGGGTTACGTGGCAAGAACAAAGGCATTCTGGGAAGTTATGGGTCTGGATGTTATGGCCACCCACCTGGGTGACTGATCCCTACCTGTCCTGCTGGACCAGCTGGGCTAATCAGTATAATCCCACGATACAGCTTATCCTTTAGGGAGTCAGGCAGGCCTGGCCTTTGCGCCTCTGTCTTGAGGCCTGGCTTTCTTCAAGTGTACTGCAACTAGCATTCTGATGTCTTTATTTTTCACTTTATTTTTCTTCCTTGTAATTACTCCTATAAACATTATTTTTACAGAATGCAGTCTTTGTATAGCAAGGGCAGTGATGGTGAACCTTTTAGAACTTTCAGTTGTTTCAGTGATATGAACAACTTATGGCAACACACGTGCCATAGCTCCGCCACCACCTGATCGTAGCGTGTTATTTTTAGATATTTTCAATTATGTAAATTAACTATACCTTTACTTTAAAAGATACGTATTATAGTATTCTGTGAATATTAAAATTGAGAAGCAATGTGCTTTTTTTTTTTGCGACAGGGTCTGGCTATGTAGTTCAGGCTGACCTTGAGCTCACTGTGTAGGCCAGGCTGGCCTCAAACTCATGGCAATCCTCCTGCCTCAGCTTCCTGAGTGCTGGGGTTACAGGTGTGCACCTCCAAACCCAGCCCACTATGCTTTATTAATAAGAAAATTAAATGAATCTGATGCTGGGAAAAATTTTAAAAGGATAGAGGAGAAGGGGAAAAATTGAGATGTGTTATGGATGTGTACTAATTCCTTACAACAAATGTAATAATTATGCCCTGAAAACATGTGCTAATAAAAAAATTAATAAAAAGAATATATGAGTAGATTTATAAGTTAATGGTACTAACTTCAGATTGTTTATTAAAGCATTTAACTTATCGATATGATGTACTTCATTAATCTTGTACTTTAAAATTGTAGTAAAATTGTAGTAAAAATAACATAAAATTTACTATTGTAAATTTTTAAGACAGCTTAAAAATGTACCATTTTTAAGACAGCTCAGTAAGATTAAAGATTAAATAATGCATGTTATTGTGCAACCATCCCCACCAGCCCTTACTTGGAATTCTTTTCAGCTTGGAAAACTGGAACTTTATACATGTTAAAGGTAACACTGTTTTTCCCTGCCTCTATTCCCTGTCAGCCAACATTCTACGTTGGGTTTTTATGAGGCTAACTACTTTATATATCTCACGTAATATTTATCTTTTCTGTGACTGGCTTATTTCACTTAGCGTGTCTTTAAGTGTATCATATGTCAGAATTCCCTTCTTTTTGAACTGAAAAACACTTGTTTGTAAATATGTCTCATCTTGTTTATCTTGAGGTTGCTTACACCCTTTGCCTGTTGTGAATGATGGTGCTGTGAGTATGGATGTATAAATAGCTTTTTGAGTCACTGCTTTCCCTTCTGTGTATCTGTTTATAAGTAGAATTGCTAGATGGTAAGACAATTCTGTTTATATTTTTTAAAAGTTTATTAGTACACGTTTGCAGTACATGCATTTTATAGTCATGTTGGATAGCTGGTGCATATACATAACACAGCTTTTTTTTTTTAAACTCCCACTCCCTTCTCACCCCTTTCCTTTCTCCTCTAATTCCCCTTCCTCTCTTGTCACTCTTGTTGATATTATTGATCTTAGTTCATGGCACATAATGTCCGCATTCATTGGTCATTAGGGTCTCATACCTGACACATCCTCACTCTTTTTCCCTGTCCTGTTTCCCTGTCCTGGTCCCCTGGACTCTTTCCCATGTGCTGGAGATCCAGCTCCTTGTCTCCTTCCATCCTTCCTTTATTTTCCTTTTAGTTTGTACTTTACCTTACTCAAATGAGGGCTACCATATGGTACTCAAGCTTGGTTTTGTGATTTATTTCATTCAACATATTTTCCAGCATATCCACTTTCCTACAAATGTCTCAAATTTGTCTTCTTTATAGTTGAGTTTTATCCCATTATATAAAGAGACTATGTTTATTTTATCTAGTTGTCTGTTGATGGATATACAGGTCACTTCAGGATTTAGCTGTTATGAATTGTGCTGCTATAAACATTGGTATGCATGTATCACTAAGGAATAATGCTTAAACAATTTGGGGAAGATACTAGAAAGAGGATAGCTGAGTCATAGGAAATTATAATTTAGTTCTTGGCAAAATCTTCATATGTTTACATTTTTGAGGAATCACTAGACTATATTGTCAGTTGCTCTTGTACCCACTTTACATTCTTACCAGGAGTACACAGATTTTAGCTGGTGTGGCAGTGCATACCTGTAATCTCAGCAAGGTAGGGGGCTGAGGCAAGAGGATTGCAGATTTGAGACCAGTTTAGGCAATTTAGTGATTTTAGTGACTTAGTGAAACCCTGTCTCAAAGCAAAAAAAGGACTAGGGATGGAGCTCAGAGTGCAGGCCCCAGTATCAGCCCTCCGTGGGGCAGGGGCGCACGTGCCAGTTGCTCTTCAGCTTTGTCAACCCTTGATTTCTGTGTTGTTGTTGTTTTTTTAATAGTAGCCATCCTAATGGGTATGAGACAAACTTCATTGTGGTTTGGATTTCCATTTCCCTACTGATTTGTGATGTTGAGTATGTTTTCATACGCTTGTTGGTCATTTGTATGTATGTGGAGAAAAGTTTGTTCAGGTCTTTTCTCAATTAAAAAAAGGTTTTTCAGTTCTTTGACCCCACCCCCTTTCTCCTCCAAGCATCTTTGTGTTATCTCTATTTATTTATTTATTTATGTTTCTCATATAAAAAGTATGATATTTAGCTTTCTTAGCTGGCTTATTTTGCTTAGCATGATGGCTTTGTCCATTTTTATGTAAATGACATGTCATTCTTCCTTACAACTGAATCATATTTTATAATGTATATATAATACGTACCAGTTTATTTTGTCTTATATATACACCAATTTCTTCATCCATTCATTTGTTGATGGAAATCTAGTCTGTTTCTAAAACTTGTTGTGCATTATGCTACTATAAACCTGAATATGTATGTATCATTATAAAATGATGTCTTTAATACTTGTAGGAATATACATACCCAGGAGAGGTGTAGCTGAATCAAATGATATTTCTATTTTCGTTTTTTGAGGAACCTTCATACTGGTTTCTGTAGTGACTGTGCTAGTTTACATTCCCACCAGCAGTGTAGACGGGATCCTCCCCATACCCTTGCCAGTGTTTGTTTTGTGTTCTGAGTGATAACCCTTTTGACTTGAGTAAGATGACTGTTGGAATTGTTTTTATTTGCATTTCCCTAAAGGCTAAAGATGTTGAATGTATTTTTATGTACTTATTGGCCACTTGTACTTCTTTGGAGAAACATCTAGTTAGTTTGCCCATTTTTTGGAAGGAATGTTAACAATTTTCACTTTTTTAATATATTCTGTTATTAGTCCTATCAAAAGTAGCTAGCAAAAATTTTCTAGCCATTCTGTAGGCTGTCTTTTCACTCTGTTGGTTGTTTCTTTTCTGTGCAGAAGCTTTTTAATTTGATATAGTGCCATTCATTGATTATTGATATTATTTCTTGTTCTATTTAGAGTCCTGTTCAGGAAGTCCTTGCCTGTGCCTGTGACTTGAGGTGTTTCTTCTATATTGTCTTCCAGCAGTTTCTGTTTCT